AGACATAAAAGGTAAATGGGACAGAAAGATATATATGTTGTTAATAAGGGTGGACTGTTTACATCCCTACAAGGGAGAGATCTTGCAACTCTTGAGAACTGTATTGTTATTACACCATGTTAAAGGAGTATACATAAAGGGGGTGGATATTAGTTGACTTTGATGTAATGATAAAAAAAAATCTAATCAAGTGGGTTAAATGGATCCAAGTAAGTGGATTAGTCTGATCTTAGAAAATGTACTGAGAAAGGAGGAGGCAGACAAGGGCAAATTACATTACAGGAAAAGACAGAAAATCCTATTACAGCAGAGGGAAAGAAGGGAGGGGGGGTGAGCACTGTTTGAACCTTACTCCCATCAGATTTGGCTCAAGAAGGGAATAACATAATCAGTTAGGTATAGAAATCTAACTTGCCCTATAGGCAGTAGGAGGGAAAAGGGGAAAGAAAAGGGAGGGGGGAATAGAAGGGAGGGAAGAAGCAGTAAGGCTAAAGGGGAAGAAAAGGGAAAGGGAGGGAGGGACTGAGGGAGGCAGTGATCAAAAGCAAAACACTAATGAGAATTTGTACTTAACAACTTCACTAATGGGAAAATATGTTTAATAGGAATGTAAATGTATAAATGTATAGCATATATCAGATTGTGTACTGACTTGGGGAGGGTGGTGGGGACGAAGGGGGAGAAAAATTTTAAACTCAAAAGCATATGGAAGTGATTGTTGATAAATCAAAATGAATTAATAAAATAATAAAAAAAAGAAGTTGAATTTCAACTTCAACAAAAGAGTCACTTTTTCCTTTGCTTTTTTTTTTGGTGTACGTTTTTAGAAACTTCTGAAGCTGTTCTTTCTTCTTCCTGATAAGACTTTTGACATCTCTGCCATGAAGCCAGTCATCTTATTCAACTTCCTACTGAAGTTGTTTGATACTTGCATTACCTTTATCAGCCGTGGCATTCATCCCAACATTTTCATTCAGCAGCTGACCAAACACTTCACCAGACAGAAATAAAGTGGAATCACTGAAGGACTCCTTCTTATTCTGTCTTGGTTCTTGAAGTGATCCAGCAAAGTCAACATCATCTGCTTTTTTCCATTGCTTTTTAAAAATGCTTACTTCATCATCTAGTTCTGGAATATTTCCATTTTCTTCATTCAGCACATCCATGAATACACTTCCAGCTTCATCAATCTCTTCAAATTCTTCATCCATATGAACACTAAGGAGATCTCTTGTTCATCCAAATCACGAAGTAATCATCATCACTACCTTACAAGTCTGATTCCTCATACCCATGAGTATTCTTAGTCCCTCTGGTTTTCTTTTTTACTTTACCAGCAAAATTAAGATCATCCTTGCCGGTAGTGCTAAAGTAATTACTGTTTTCAAATGTGTCAAGTTAACTTCTCAAACTCTTCATCAACTACATCTTCTACACTTACATTATCTGAAGGTATCTGATGTTTACATTTTTTTTTGGTCAATCTTCTAATACCTACAGAAAAAAAAATTTCAGCCACTAGGATTTGGCTTTTTGGTTCCAAGGAAGTCCTTACTGTTCCCAGAAAGATTCTGCAAATCATTCATGATATAGTTCTTGTACCTGACAGCTCCTTTTCAGTCTCTATTGTTAGATCCATATCATAGCCCCTAACTGTAGGTGTACTCTAAGGTTCTGTCCTGGACCTTTTCTTCTTTCTTCACCTTCTTACTTGAAGACTTCATCAGATCCCATGGCTCTAATTATCTCTGTAGATGACTCTTAGTTCTATATATCCAACCCCAGTCTTTTTCGTGAACTCCAGTTCTGAAACACCAACTGCCTACTGGACATCTCCCCAAATGTCTCATAAGCATCTCACACTCAGTATGGCCAAAACAACTTCCCCACTGCCTACCCCCTAAAGCCACCTCTCTTGTGAACTTTCCTATATCTGTTAAGGGTTCCACTATCCTCCAGTCTTCCAGATTTGTAAAACTTCAGCTGCATCCTAGACTTCATTCTCCCCTCACCTCTATCAATTGCCCAATCTTGTCTTTTTCCCCTTCCACAAAACCTCATGTTTGTCCCCTTCTCTACTCACACAGCTACCAGTCAGTTCAGGCCCTTATCACCTCACAGCAGCTTCACAAATGTTCTCCCTAACTTAAGTCTCTCCCCTCTCCAATAAGTCCTCTACCTATCTGCCAAAGCAATTTCTGACCATGTCATCATCCTACCCAGTAATATCCAGGATGATCAAATATAAACTGCTTTGACACTTAAAGTCCCCTACTCAATAAATTCCAGTGGCTCCCTATCACCTCCAGAATCAAAAATAAAATTCTATTTGGCATTTGAAGCCCTTCACAACCTGACCCTCCTCCATTTTCTTCCCCTCCCAACCTTTCCAGTCTTCTAATCTTACACTATTCCATATATACTGCAATCCAGTGACACTGGCTGTAACTGCAAAAGAAATGGCATTTCCACTGAGCATCCCCTATGCCTGGAATTCTTCCTCTTCATCTCTGCCTCCTGACTACCCTGGCCTTCTTCAAGTCCAAGCTAAATTCCCATCTTCTACAGGAAATTTTTTCTGATACTCCTTAATTCTAGCATCTTATTTTGGTTATCTCCCATTTGCCCTCTACATAGCTATTGGTACCTTGTCTCCCTTATTAAACTATAAGCTACTTGATAGCAGGGACTGTGTTTTTTTTTCTTTTGTTGTATCCCTAGTACTCAGCACAGAGTAGGCATTTAATAAGTGTTTGCTGACTGACAACCTGGCTCCTCCCTACCATTCTAGTCTTGTTACACTTATTCCCTTCTACATTAACTAAGATCCAGCTAAACTGGCCTATATGCTACTTCTTGCACATGATGACTTTCCAGCTCCTGATTCCCCTTTCTCTGATAGCCTTTTCACTGACTATCCTCCAAGCTTAGAATGCTCTGCCTCCTAGCTTCTTTACATTCCTTCAAAACTCAGCTCAAATCCCATCTTCTGTAGGAAACCTTTCCCAGTTCCTTTCCTTCCCCACTCCTGCCCCACCTCGTGCCTCCCTACTAGTATTTATACCCTCCATTTACACTGTAAATATCTCCCTCAAGGCAGGGAACATGTTTTTGCCTTTCTTTGTATCCATAGCCCTTAAGCACAGTGCCTGATCATAAGGTGTCATTCTGATGAAAGATTTTCAGAAATTAATGAAAAAAGAAGTATTTTATTTCTTCATAAAGAATCTAGTTAGAAGGTTGGTCTTTACTACTAGTAGAAAATAACACAGCCTTCTTAGATAAAAAAAGAAGCTGGTAACAAAATGCTCTGTTTATAGCTGAGCAGAACTAGTCACAGGATTAAAAAAGAATCAGATGTCAAAATTAAGGATTTAGAAATTGATTACTTAAGACCAAGTTTTAAGTTATACCCTCTTATGAAACATATTTCTCCATATTCAGGCAGAGGATTTATAAAGTTAGGCTTGTTATTAAAATAAAAATGATCATATACACTTAACTAAATAAGCTGGAAAGGATTTGGAAAATAGGTAATAGGCTACCAAGGATTTATTACCTTGCCAGTTCTTGTCTATTTGATTTCTGCCAGATGTTTTTCTTTAATAAATACTCACATAAAAAGGCCAATAGTCAACCACATTTGGACCTTGTGAAATAACTCTAATTAAATAAACAACCCCCAATATAGGTTAAGATAACCTAAAGTATAAAATTATGTACAAAGCCAGATTATGTTTTAAGCTACTTTAAAATTAATCATTTCATAAGGCCCAATTGTTGATATCCTTTTATTAATGTTTTTAAGCATCTCGTTCTACCTGGTGCAGTGTGCTGGCAATCAGATGTGCACAAGCAAACAAATAATCTACATTCATGGGGTACAGTACATTCAACCTTTAAAATAATTTTGTTCCATTTTGAGCTACTATACTGTGTGTTTGCTAAGTATTTCTCTAAGGTTGTACAAAATAACTCTCTACCCTTACTAACTAGGCTTTTTTCTGTTCCATGGGCACAACATCATCCACCCTTGTTCCTCATCACCACAACCATCAAGATTCGACACATTCAGCTTCTCATATTATACCAGTTCCAAGGGCTCAACCTAAGCAGTGGGGTCTGTGGTGACAGTGAAAGGAAATAAGACAAAAAAATACTATATTGATTTTGTTCCTTACTCCCATACCCTAGCCCCCTCTCACCAATTTCAACTGTCCAACAATAGCTGACAGCAGGATTAGCCTTACAGCAAGAGAAAGGCATGAAAATTCCATAAAGCATTAACTCCCATTCCAAGCCCTCAATCACTACTTCTCCGCTTTAGCTTTAGCTGCTCTGAGGAAGAAAAAGGGAGAACAGGAGAAAAAGGTTTACTAATGATACCTTCCCAGTTTCCCCAAAGCCCCAAGGCCTATGAAAGCTCCTGCCTTAGGCCATATAAGCCTAGTACCTTGGGACTGAGAGGATCTATGCTCCCACTGCCAGGGCTACAGAAAGGAAGATGTGTCCCTGGCATCTCTTGATGGAACTCAGAATTCATTTCCTAAACGAATATTTTTATAGATAGTGACTTGAAGTTAGATTCTTTTGTTTAGTGGAAAGAACACTTAACTTACAGTCAGGAGTCCCCTGTTCAAATCCCTGCTCAAACTCAACAACTCTGAGATTATAGGCAAGTCACTTAGCCTCCCTGCATTAGTTTCCTCATCAATGAAGCAAACATAATCACAGACTATCTCAAGGTTGTTCTGAAGAAGGGACTTTATTAAGCCTTAAAACACTATGTGAGCCATTACTATTCTTCAGTTATATGATGATTAGAATGAGCTTTTACTGGTTGACTTGAGCATCTAGAGGTCTTTTCATTGTTTCTACAGGAAAAAGCATCACAAGATCCAAGAAACTTACACATGTGCTGTGTTCCAAAGTTTGTTGGTAAATTTGTACTGCCTGGTATTATGTTCCTGAAAAAGAACAGGAAGAAGAAGGATGATTACCTCCTTTTGTAGTGTCATTCTGTGCCTGGATCCCATGATGTAATGAATTGTGAATTGCGGATAGAAGATCTGCTGCTTGAATCATCAGTTTCTGAGCTTCTGCAACAGCACTTGTCTGAAAAATTAATCACCAACACAAGAATGTTTCAATATTAGGAAATAATTAGCATAATTAATCATATTTGTAGCAAAATCACATGATTATTTCAAAAGATACAGAAAAGGCCTTCAACAAAATATAGCAATCATTCATGTTAAAACAATGAAAAGCCTTGGCATGGCAGACAGGTCCTTTAATATGATCAGAAGTATTTATCTAAAGCCAAGAAAAAAGGAAATAAGTATTTATCAAATGTCTGCTATGTGTCAGGCACTGTGCTGGGCATTTTACAAATATTACTTCATTTGGCTCTTGAAATCTCTATTTTACAGTCGAGGAAACTGAGGCAAAAAGAGGTTAGCCCAGAGTCACAGAGCTGGTAAATGTTTGAGGCCAGATTTGAACTCAGGCTATCTTGACTTCCAGGCCCAGAGCTCTCTTCACTGCACTACTTGCTTGCACTAGAATTAACATTACAGGCAAATGGAATAACACTGGAAGTATGATTACCAAATTCAAGGGAAAAAGAAGGCTGTCCCTTTTCTCTACTAATACTTGACATAGTACTAGGAATGTTAAAGCAATAAGACAAGAAGGAAATTAAATAGACATCAGCAGAAGGAAGGAAAATGTACCTCTACATGTATATGATATTATGGTTTACTAAGGAAATCCTATAGAATCAATGAGGAAACTGAGATGATTAACAGCTTTACTGAAGTAGAAGACACAAAATATAGACACAAAAAGCATCAGTATTTACATGTGTAGCACAGCATCTAGTAGGCTTAATAAATGCTTGCTGATTGACTTTATAATGAAACCAAAACCAACAGAACAGAAAAAAAAAATTCCACTCAAAATTACTACAAAAAGTATAAAATATTTGGGAGGTAACCTAAATGACACATGTAGGACTTATATAAATATATCTTTTAAAAAACATTATTTACAGAAATAAAGGAAAATCTAAATAGAGATACAGCTAATGTATATATCTGAGCTACATCAATATAATAAAAATAATACTAAGTTAATCTATATATTTAGTGTTATACCAAACTACCAAGGGATTAATTTACAGACTGAAGTAAAATGACAGCAAAATTTATTTGGCAGAATAAAAGGCCAAGAATTTCACGAGAAATAATTTTTAAAATAGAAATGAAGGATGCATAGTATTGGATGACCTCAAATTATTTTAAAAGCAACATTCATCAAAATTAGATTAAAAACAAGAAAACAGGTCAGTAGAAAGAAATACATAAGAAAGACACCAAAGCAAATGAATCCAGAGAGAGACTCCTCTATTCAACAAGAACTTATAGGAAAACTGGAAAGTAGTTTGGCAGAAAAAAGATTCTGATCAATATCTTCTACCATACGCCACAACAAATTCCAAATGGATATGTGACCTAAATCTATGATCACATAATTAAAAAATGACAAGACACTGTTAGGAGAAATGTTTCACAACTACAATGAGAATTAAAAACCAAAGGACAGAAGTAGTGATACCAAAAGACAAAACTGACGATTTCAATTACATAAAAATTAAAATTTTGCAATGAATACAACTAGAATAAGAAGCTATTTTAAGAAAAAAAAATCTTTGTATCAAGCATTGCTAATAAAAGTCTGACAAAATACATAGTGAATATACACAAACATGTAAGACTAAGAACTATTTCCCAAATGTTAGGGGGACAGAAGAAATACAAATAAGTATGATACCCTCAACAAAAACATGCTACAAACTGCTACCACTAAGAGAAACATTAAATTAAAAGAATTTTGAGGTTTCACATCAAATTCATTAAATTGGCAAAGATTGCTAACAGTCCGTTTTGGAGCATATGCACAAAAACAGTAAAATTAGTACTGTGCTGGTGGAGCTGTGGATCGATTCAGTCATTCTGGTTATCAATTTGGAATTACATGAATAAACTGACTGAATTGTTTAAACACTATGATCCCCTGAGCCTTTCACTGGGAATATATCTACATCAAAGAAGTCAATACAGAAAGGTCTAATAGACACTAAAATATTTATACCAGTGAGTTTATAGCAGCAAAAAACTGGGGAAAAATGCATCCCTGCTGATTGGGGAATGGCTGAATAAACTGTGGAATCCAAACGTAATGTACTATTACCATGCTATAAGGATAGTTTTGGTGGTGGTTGCCTTTGGAAACTGTTATTTCCTCAGTTTAGAGCTCTCCCTGATGAGAAAACTCCTTCTATCTATGGAGAATGATAAATATTCTACAGAACTGAAGAATGCTGGGTAGGCACAGAGAGGTTAAGTGACTGCTCAAAGTTCACAGAGCTAAGATATGTCAGAAGCATTCTTGAAGTTTGTCCTGACTCTGTAGTCGATCCTTACCCATCACGCCCTACTGTCTCTCAGGGAATGGTGAACATGAGGGAATCAGAGAAATACAGGAAAATATGAAAGAACCAATAAAGAGCAAAGAAGGTAGAATCAGAAAAAAATACACACATATATAAAATAATTACAATAATATAAAGAAAATATCAAAATATAAGAGAATTCAAATAAAAGGCAATGATTGATGTTAGACCCAAAAGATTAAGTCAGAACATGCTTCCTTACCTATAGGTAGGATACAGACTATGAGTGTAGAATGTTATATACTCTCTAAGTCTTGGTCACTGTAAAACAACTTTGCTCATTTTGGAGGCCAAGCTAGGCACATGCTAAGTGGGGTGCTGGGAAGTAATTGTGGTACAAAAGACAATGATGACAAAATATTTTACAAAATAAGTCACAAAGTGTCATTACAGATTTTCACTGATATACAAAGTGTCCGAAAGGTCTTTGTGCAATTTTAAGCGATTAAACCTTAAAATTGCACGAAGATTTTTTGGACATTGTGTATGTTGAAAAAAAAACACCCCTCATTTCATGTAAATGTTTTGGTAACATTTTTGGTTTTTATAAACTAATGATTTAATACCTGACTATCTAAGTCGAGCTAAGCAGGGGACCAAATGTCTACTTCTATCTTTAGCATCTAATTACTACAGAATCTAATAGAAAATGCTCTTGGTTTGCCCAAATATACCTCCATAAAATTTAAAACACCTAAGACTGTAGGAAACTGGCAAACTGAAATTGTGACATTTCCAATTTAGTGTGGACTACAGTTTAAGAAAACTGGATATGGTTTATGTTTTCATGAAAAGATTTGGAGGGCCAGGACTAGAACAGTTAGGTGGATGAGAAAATCGCTGGCTCTTCTGTTCCCCCACACTACTGATAAATTGATTATTTAGAAAACTGTCGTGGAGCCAGTACCTAGTGCTACACTAAGCAAATTGAAAGAAAAAAGCCACCCAAGGTTTGCTTTCTGGTCATGGATATTTCAGCTAGGCCTAATTATTATTATTAACTCATCAAGGAAGGCAGTTTCACTTAAATTTTATGATACAATTTTCCCGATACATAAAGATATTTCACCAGAAACAAATGACAAAATGAATGAAAGTGTCCTTACCTCTTTTTTAGTAAAAGCGATGAGAACTGTCAGTAGCACTCGAGTAAATTTCACTCTGCTAAATACAGCTAAACATTGCTGATGCTAAAACAAAAGAAATGCCTAGTAGTTAGCAGATGCTTTTTAAGGGTATTTTATTTTAAAATACTAAATATTTCTTTAATTCCTAAAAATAGAAAACTCTCTTTTCCCGTCATAAAAAAACTATATTATAAAGACATTCTTGTATGCTACTTTAAATTCCTTTGAATAGCTACCCACATAACAAACTCAGCCTACATCCTGATCTGTGAGTCCACAGAAAAGATAAAGTTTCCAATTTATAAAAGTGATTGTTCCTGAAAGCACCAATTTTTACAAAAATCTAATTCATTTGCACTAAAAAAGCAATAATGATCAATTTAAAACAACACTGGGCAGGGAATCGAAGTTTAGGTTCTTGCCTTAACTTTTGTACAAGAATCCAGGACCTTCTATATCTTAGTTTCATTAACTGTCTGGAAAACAAACATAAAATTTCTTCCTACTTCATAGAGTAGGATATTTGAAACAACATATTTGAAAGTGCTTTGGCAGTCTTTGGAAGAAAATGCTAGATAAACCCAACAGATTATTATTATATCAATATAAACACAAGGGAACTAAAAGCCCCTTGCAAGGTCCAATTTTTTGAAGAAATACCTTAAAAAGAGCTTCCATATATTACAACGCAGTTCATAAAACTATAACATTAAGAGGTAGACTTCTCTGATATTATCTACCAGAAAATAAGTTCAATTACTTCAAGTTCAACTTCTGGATCTCTTTCTTCTCCTTGTCGACTTCGAGTGCTCTAAAATTTAAAAAGTTTGAATTACAACCCCAAACTGTGCATCAAGTAGAACAAAAGAGTAAGTCAATATGATATGGCTATCATCAGCTTCAAGTTAAATTCCAAATAACATTAATGAGTATTTAAAAATAAAAGCAGAAGCAAAAGATGTTCTTCATATTCATTCCATGAACAAAAAGCACATCTCAGGAAGAAAGCTACCAAAAGTTAACTAGTACAAATCACACAATTAAAATATGAGCGATAACTAGGTAAAAAGTCATAGGCACTTCATTTTATTTCTTGCTATTCTTAGAATGCAAACATTGTGAAAAACATATTTCACAAATCTCATGGATTGAAAACAAACATCAAATTAAATGCTCCCATAACTATTCAAAACCCAAGAGATCTTTCCAAACCACAGATCCTGCCTATGTCAGGTTCTCATACATCTGGGCGGAGTAGAATCTTTTAATATACAGCACCATAGAATCACTGAAAGGGCACAGGTTCTGTTATTTATAACTAGCTGAGTGAATTTACACAAATCCTAAGCTCTTTGAGCCCCAGTTTTCCCATTCAGAGAATGGGAATAACATCTGCCTTGTGTACTTCACAGGATTATTACTGGAGTTGTAGGAAAAATGACATTGTATATTCAACTTTTATATTATAATTAATATTATAATTATATTATACATTATATATAAACAAATAATATATAAATACTATATAATTATATATAAACATTACATAATAATTGGAGTTTTAAGTTCAGTAAAAAATAGGTCAGACATTTACTTCCACGACAATTGGAACATCATCATTACTGGAGTTGTAGAAAAAAAGACATTTATTGTGTATTCAATTTTTGCTAACAGTCTAAAGTTATGAGATGATAGATTTTCACTAATTAAAACAAAAGTGAAGTCCTCAGTATTAGTTCAGATAATCAGTAGTTTTTATTGTTGTCCCATAGCATCTGGCACAGTGCCTTTCATTACAAGAACATTTAACAAATGTTCCATGAATTTAATTAAATTGATATAAACATCCTGATTAATACTAAAAACCATACCACAACAAAACTCTGAAGGAATCAATCCATCAGCATGAATCCATTAAGCACCTACTAAGCACCATGCACTGTGCTAAGTGTCAGAGATGTACAACACAAAAAGTGAGATAACCCTTGAATGCAAGGAGCTTATACTCTAAAAGAAGGCTGCAATACATACAATAGAACAGCACCCAGGAAAGACAGTTTTCATCCAAGCAGGCACAGGACTTGTGAGAGGAGCCCACAGAGTAGCAGATTCACACCCTTCTAGGGGCAGCGGCAGTATTATATGATTACTATTCCAAGAGCAAAATGGGGAAAGAAGCATAGGGACGGGACAAACGCAAAAATATCCAGGCTGGGTGGTGCCTGGTATCTCAAAGTACTATCTCCTCAACTGTAACCCTGACTTGCAAGAAGCTTTTCTTTAAAAACACACTCTGATAATGAGAAGGATAAACACATGATGGTGAAGAAAAATAAGGAAAATGCGTACCTTTACTCTTCTTTGCATGTCATCTTCTACATCTTTTAGCATGCCTAAAATAGATACATTGTGGTTAAAAGGTAACATACTAATGTAATGAAGGACACATATAAAAATATAAGCGTTCTCTATAAATAGTCTCTAGTCTCACCGGTAACTCGAAGATCTGTCACACTATTTGCCATTTTAAATCCATAAGTCATTGACTGAAAATCTTCCTAAAGAGAAAAGGAATAATGATTAAGACTCAAAGACTGAACTGCCAAGCCATTCATTATATTTTTCTTACATAGTTGTTCCGTTTGTGAAGAAGTGGAACACAACACAAGGACTCTTATGCTATTTATCTAAATACATAAATACCTAAACAAAGGAGAAATTAATAAAACTGAAAGAAAACTTTTGAACTAATAAAATTAAAAGCTGATTTTATGAAAAAAAAAACCAATAAAACAGATAAGCTATTGATTGATTTGATTAAAAAGAGAAAGAAAAAAACCAAATTGCCAGTACCAAAAAGGAAAAGGGTGAATTCTCCACCAATGAAGATGAAATTAAAGCAACTATTAGGAGCCATTTTATCCAATTATACACCAATGAATCTAACAATTTAAGTGAAATGGATGAATATTTACAAAAACTTTAAACAGAAGAAAAAGCAGAATACTTAAATAACCCTATCTTAGAAAAAGAAATTAAACAAACCACAAATGTGTTCCCTAAGAAAAAAAACCCAGGACCAGACAGATTCACAAGTAAATTCTACCAAACATTTAAAGAACAATTAATTCCAATATCATATATACTATTTGGGAAAATAGGCAAGGGAGGAGTCCTACCACATTCTTTTTACAACACATAGTGCTGATATCACTATCAGCATAACTGGCTATATCAATAAGAAAACAAACAAAAAATGATTATCTCAACAGATGCAGAAAAAACTTTTGACAATGTACACCCATTCCTATTAAAAACACCGGAGAGCATGGCAATAGACCTTTCCTGAAAATAAGTATTATATATCTAAAACCATCAGGAATGTTTAGAATGCTTAAGAACCAATTGATAAAGTGCTCAATCATTTTAGAACTGCCCATTTACTAACTGATATATATGTTCATTACAAATCACTTGCACTTATTCTTTAAGAACCCTGACCAAACAATATTTTAAAAATCTGAGTCACTCTACATACTACATCTCTTTAAACATATTCTGTAAGTCACATGTTATTAAAACAAGCTTCCTTCTAATTAGTTCAAAGTAGTGAGATTTTATTTTTAAGTGATTTTTACATGTATATTCACAAGACTTGCATCTTCATGAATTCTTCATCTCTAATGACATCCAAAGTTTTAGAAGTTTTAACATCACTAACCTGAAGTTGCCAGTGGGATAGAATACACTCATCATTCTATACTAAAAATAGTTTTAGTGAGAAACTCAAGAATAACTTAAGCTTAGGAAGACAATATGATCACTTATGAAGAAAGACGTCAAAATAAAAGAGAACTTTTTTTATGTGTCTAGGACCTTATTTAGAGAATGACACTTTCATAAACCAAGATTTCTACATTACCATCTTAGGAGACAAATTCAGTGTCAACTCTAAAAACAAAACAAAAACATTCATCATATCTGATAAAACACAAATAGTCCCTTTAGAAATTTGCTTTCATTAGCTCTCCCTTATATAAACATGAGGATAGAACATTTCTGAATGACAAGTTACAAGAGCCTTGAGGGCAAAAACTACTTCTTCGTAGAAGAATGGTGATATCAGGGCAGTGGGAGTCCCTATAATAGTAAAAAAAGAAAGGATCCAGCTTTACTATGTCTCTCTAGTGATTACCTCAATTATCATCACCCTTACCTATTAAGATAAAAAATTCCAAGTTAGCTAGTGCTCTCTAATAAGCAAGAATTAAAATATGTTTCCTAGATATTTTCATCTTAATTAATCAGTCAAAAAAGCATTTATTAAGCATATACTACATGCCAGTGTATAGCAGGTACTCAGGAAATGCTGCAAACTGCTGGAATGAACAGATGAGAGTAACAAAAACCCTCTGTTGGATTACCATACTTATTAGCTTAATAACTAATGGCAACAAAATCTATTCCATAAAAAGCATTTTATTTACCATTTTTGCACATTTGATAGGACTATCACAATATACAGTCCTTTTTTCTTTTATCTTTTTTATAAAAGTAATCAGGTCCTCTCTCCTACTCCGTGTATCTGAGCTGGGCCAAGGTGGCAGTAAGATTATAAGGTATCTTGGGGAAATGGATATATGGGGTAGAAATGAAAGGTAAAGTGAAATATTACAATCTCCATGTCCTGGTCAAAGAAAGTAATGAGAGTTATGAGAAGTCTTGGGTGGGGCAGGCCTTGTATCTTATCTTTCCTATGGACTTTCTTGATGGAGAAGTCTAGTGAGACACTACCTTTTCCCTCTCTCACTCCTGCCCTTACGAGTCATAGACTCTTGCTTCTCTTGCTTTTGTCCAGAACCGTAGGGGAGAAGATGGAGAGCCTCTATCCTTCCTTGGGTCTCTAGCACTATGTTCATAAGTTTATGCAGCTCACTCAGTTTTAATCAAGTAAAATCTACCCGTTTCAGTGTCATCTGGCAATCCTATATTGATGAGTAGCTGTAACCCTCATGAGACTGGCTGGTTCTGCCTTAGTAAAGAATCAGATCTGGTCTTACAGTTGAGCCTCCATGTACTATAATGCCTAGCCTCTAGGTTCATTAACCATAGCACGCTCACTTCCTGGGGAGCTGGGGCTGTTACTACTCAAATGGGTGTCTACCGATTCATATAGCTTTTAGTTTACTCTTCTGTAAAATGGGAATAATATACCTGCAGAACCTACTATAAAGAGGAGGTGAATGTGGCTCCCTGTTGGACCAGCACCCATTCTTTGCCTTCTCCTTGAACATCTCCTAGATCATATTTCCCAAGATCTGCAAGATAACCCCTCCTCTCCCATTTGTTATCCTCCAAGGCCCATGGCCACTTATTTGCCAACTGCCTTGACTCTTTCCCTACAGAATGCCAGCCTGGAAACTTACAAGTGTTTCTCACCTTAGCCTTGCACACACACACACACACACACACACACACACGCGCGCGCGCAAAACCCCTCAGAAAACTTACCTCTTCAAAAACAGCAGCTTTATTTACTTTTTCCCTTGCAATGTCACAGATTTTCAGGATACCCAGAGCAAAAGCTTTCATAGCAGGATCTTCTATGAAGTCTGGATTATGGATGTAAAGACAAGTAAACACTGTCTGTGCCAACGAATGACCTTCTAACCAAGTTATCTATAAAAGAACAAAAATGTTTACATTTTATGTTGATTCAAATATGAGAAGCTTATAAAATCTAAACTGTTCCTGTAACTAATAACAAACCACTCCTCCAATATGATGACTATTTCTCCAAAATGTAAGATAAGCAAATGACCAAAGAATTGTGAAAAAAATAATTCAATATACTCAGTGTTGACTGCCTTCTATGATTCAGATTTATAGAAATCTACATAGTATGGTAAAATTAGCTGTCTCCAGAAAACACTCCAACACAGTACATCCTTGACTACAAATTCAGGCTATCTTCAACTTTAGAATTAAAGTCAGAATCACTCAGGAATAGTAACAAAACTAAGAGACCACATTGTTAATCAATCAATAAATATTTATTAAGTGGTTACCATATACCAAGCACTATGGGTGCTGGGGATACAAAGATAAAATACAACCAATACTAAAACAAGAACACACCCAATAAAACATACCAGACAAATGGTCACCTAACCTTTGCTTGGAAAAAAACTCCAAAAACAAAAACTGAGTCCCACTCCTTATTTGCTGGGGCAGCCCCTAGCTTGTCTACCTGTATTCTTTGACCTCTATCACCTACTTTGAACTTCAAAATACCTCACATTTCCATAACATATATAGTCTATTATCACTACTTTGAACTTTTGCCAATTCAGTCTATTTGTCTTGCTATTCTTACTCAGTCTGGAGGCCTCCTAATCCTAATCTAACCAACAATGCATATTGTCCAATACTTTAATCTTTCTCCTCCCAAGCTATTCCTGACCTTAGCTGCCAAAATCTATGCAGGCCAGTTAACCAGACTAGTTCTAAATACATTATTTGTACCTGATTAACAACACAAAATTTCTAAACTAAAATCAGGTTCTCGGAAACTGCAAATAGAACACAACCTTTGACATGTCTTATCAAGCTGAAAAGCCATTAGTATAAGCCTAGTGATATTTCTGCCAAGAAAGAACTTAGATATTTAACCCAAACCCCCTCATTTTATAATGACTTACTGAATTCCCCATTGTTTCTTCCTAAACATTTCCAATCTCTATTTTCTAATCCAACTCAGCAAATGAACCTGGCCTCCAACTTTAATCAATACAATCCTACACATACTCGCTCAAGTTCCTTTAACTCACTTCAAAATATTTCAATATCTTCATCTTCCCTCATGTTTCAGAGGAAACGTGCCTCTATTCATTCCAATGCTAACCCGTCAAATTTGCTTTCAACTCCAGCCCTTCTCCTCCCCTTGTCCCCTTCATTCTCTCCCTTTCTTTCCCTTCTGCCTACATAGACATACCCTGGCAACTCAATTACTTTAAAAAAAAATCTTAACTCTGCCACTCTTTTCTCCTCTCCTTCCCCTTACTGCTAGCTTCTCAAAAGAATAGTCTACAATAACTGTCTCCACTTCAACACTGTTCAGTCCTTTATGATTTTAATTCCCTCTCTACCACTGCACTGACACTGCATTTTCTAAGTGTATCAGTAACTCCCAACATTAACCCCAACAGACTTTTCTTGGCTTCTCTGCAGCATATGAACAGTCCTGACTATGTCTGTCTTCTGGACACTGTCATCCCTTAAGCTTCTGTAACACTGCAACTGTCTGGTCTCCCCCTACCTATCTGGCAGTACCTCCCATCTATCTTCCTGCCCTCTTCACACAGGTAACCCCCTGAGTTCTCTGTTCACATTACTCTTCTTTTTGAGCAATGATTCTCAAGGTTTCAATAATCATCTCTATGTAGATGACTCCCAAATCTAGATCTCAAACCTCACTCATCTCACAGCATGTGGTGGCCTCATTTTCCAGTCTGACATTTTTACCTGAATTTCTAACACCACCTTAAATTCAACATGTTCAAATCCAAAAATAATCTTTTTGGGGGCTTTTTCTTACTTCTTTACTTCTTCTTTTATTTTATTAATTTATTTTGATTTATCAACAATCACTTCCATATGTTTTTGAGCTTAAAATTTTTCTCCCCCTTCCTTCCCTCTACCCTCCCCAAGACAGCGCACCATCTGATACAGGCTATACATTTACATTCCTATTAAACATATTTTCACATTAGTGAAGTTGCAAGTAAAAATTAAAACCAATAGGAGGAACCATCAGAAAGAGGAAACAAAATTCAACTTAAGGTAAGAATAAGTGAGAGCGATTCGACTTCCATAGTTCTTTCTTTGGATGTGGACAGCATTTTCCATCCTGAGGCCTCTGGAGATGTCTTAGATCCTCGTAATGCTGAGAAGGGTTCAGTTTAACATTCTTAGTCATTGCATAACATGGCTGCTATCGTATACAAAGTCCTCTTGGTTCTGCTCACTTCACTCAGCATCAGACCACATAAGTCTTTCCAGGTTTTTCTGAAGTCAGCCTGTTCAGCATTTCTTATAGCACAATAGTATTCCATTACATTCACATATCACAACTTGCTCAGTCATTCCCCATTTGATGGGCATCCTCTCAATTTCCAATTCTTTGCCACCACAACAAGAGTTGCTATGAATATTTTTGTACATGTGGGTCCTTTTCCCACCTGTATGATCTCTTTGGGATATAGGCCTAGAAGTGCTATTGCTGGATCAAAGGGTATGCACATTTTTGTAGCCCTTTGGGCATAGTTCCAAATTGTTCTCCAAAATGGTTGGATCATTTCACAACTCCACCAACAATGCATTAGTGTTCCAATTTCCCCCCATCTTCAACATTTATCATTTTCCTGTTTTGTCATGTTGGCCAATCTCATAGGTTTTATGTGGTACCTCAGAGTTGTTTTGATTTGCATTTCTCTAATCAATAATGATTTAGAACATTTTTTCATGTGACTATAGACGGCTTTAATTTCTTCATCTGAGAGCTACGTTCATATCCTTTGACCATTTATCAACTGGAGAATGGCTTTTATTCTTATAAATTTGTCTTAATTCTCTATATATTTTAGAGATGAGGCCTTTATCAGAGACTGGTTGTAAAAATTCTTTCCCAATTTTCTATCTTCCTTCTAATTTTAGTTGCATTGGCTTCATGCAAAACCTTTTCAATTTAATGTAATCAAAATTATCTATTTTCCTTTTCATAATGTTCTCTATTTCCTGTTTGGTCATGAATTCTTCTGTTCTCCATAGATCTGATAGGTAAACTATTCCTTGTTCTCCCAGTTTACTTATAGTATCAGCTTTTATATCTAAGTCATGAACCCATTTTGACTTTATTTTCATATATGGTGTGAGATTTGGGTCTATGCCTAGTTTCTGCCATACTCTTTTCCAGTTTTCCCAGCAGTTTTTTTCAAAGAGTGGGTTCTTATCCCAGAAGCTGGGGTCTTTTGGGTTTATCAAATAATAGATTACCATAGTCATTGACTACTGTGTCTTGCATATTTAACCTATTCCACTGATCCATCTCCCTATTTCTTAGCCAGTACCAAGCAGTTTTGATGACTGCTGCTTTATAATACAATTTAAGATCTGGAATTGCTAGGCCACCTTCCCCTGCATTTCTTTTCATTAGTTCCTTTGATATTCTGGACCTTTTGTTCTTCCAAATGAATCTTGTTATTATTTTTTCTAACTCTATAAAATAATTTTTGGTAGTTTGATTGGTATGGCACTGAATAAGTAAATTAGCTTAGGTAGGATTGTCATTTTTATTATATTAGCTCGGCCTACCCATGAGCAACTGATGTTTTTCCAATTATTTAGATCTGATTTTATTTGTGTGAAAAGTGTTTTGTAATTGTGTTCATAGAGTTCCTGGGTTTGTTTCAGGAGGTAGACTCCTAAATATTTTATAATGTCTACAGTAAGTTTAAATGGGATTTCTCTTTCTATCTCTTGCTGTTGGGCTTTGTTGGTAATATATAGAAATGCTGATGATTTATGTGGGTTTATTTTATAGCCTGCAACTTTGCTAAAGTTGTTTATTATTTCAAGTAGTTTTTTACTTGATTCTCTAAGTATATCATCATGTCATCTGCAAAGAGTGATAGCTTTGTTTCTTCTTTGCCTATTCTAATGCCTTCAATTTCTTTTTCTTCTCTTATTGCTAAAGCTAAGGTTTCCAGTACAATATTGAATAACAGTGGTGATAATGGACATCCTTGTTTCACCCCGATCTTATTGGAAATGCTTCTAGCCTGTCCCCATTACATATAATGCTTGCTGAAGGTTTTAGATATATGCTATTTATTATTTTAAGGAAGACTCCATTTATACCTATGCTTTCTAGTGTTTTTAATAGGAATGGGTGTTGTATTTTATCAAAAGCTTTTTCTGCATCTATTGAGATGATCATGTGGTTTCTGTTGGTTTTGTGTTGATATGCTCAATGATGCTGATAGTTTTCCTAATATTGAACCAACCCTGCATTCCTGGTATAAATCCTACCTGGTCATAGTGTATTATTCTTGTGATAAGTTGCTGCAATCTACTTGCTAGTATTTTGTTTAAAATTTTTGCATCTATATTCATTAGAGAAATTGGTCTATAATTTTCTTTCTCTATTTTGACTCTTCCTGGTTTAGGTATCAACACCATATTTGTATCATAAAAAGAATTTGGTAAGACTCCTTCTTCACCTATTTTCCCAAATAGTCTATATAGTATTGGAATTAATTGTTCTTTAAATGTTTGATAGAATTGCATGTAAATCCATCTGGCCCTGGAGATTTTTTCCTAGGGAGTTCATCAATGGCTTGTTCAATTTCTTTTTCTGAGATGGGGTTATTTAAGTATTTTACTTCCTCTTGTTAATCTGGGCAATTTATATTTTTGTAAATATGTATCCATTTCACTAAGATTGTCAAATTTGTTGGCATATAGTTGGGCAAAATAATTCCTAATTATTGTTTTAATTTCCTCTTCCTTGGTGGTAGCTTCCCTTTTCATTCTTGATACTAGTAATTTGGTTTTTCTTTCTTTTTTTTAATTAAATTAACCAAAGGTTTATCTATTTTATTGTTTTTTCATAAAACCAG